GAATGCGAAGGATCAGAAAGAGCCAGAAGAGGTTGACCGCTTGCAGACTGGCCAGCAGGGCGAAGGTGATGATCTGACTGATCCAGCATTTGTATTGTTGGGTCTCCCAGTTAAGCTCGTAGGGTCCAACGGTGCGGAATTCGGTCAGCACCGCCCAGAGGATCTTCAGGTTGAGGACATGGCGGAGGTAGATCCACATAACGACGAAGGTGCCAAAGTATGGTATAGTGATGATGGAGTCGAGGTAGTTGAGGGTTTTTGAGGTCTACAAGAACAATCAATTAGCTCACGTTCAATTGAGGTGGACACTTGCAGGCATACCGCGAGGAAGAAATCTGAGATGTCGTGGGTGATATAGACCGCAATGCCCATATAGGTGAAGTGGAAGCGGTAACTCAACCCGATCAGCGCCAAAGTGATGATGTGGTGACCGACAAGTTCCTTGAAATCCTTTCGGGGCTTTTCGAGCTGCAACAGCAATACAATCGCTTGCTGAGCCCAGTAACTAGCCTGGAGTAGGTAATAGGCCTTGAAGATGGCTACGTGCTCCCGGTGAGGGAAACCCTCAAACATGGCCGTGGTGTTGAAGTACCAGATATCCGTCTGCTTCATCACGTACAGACCGAAAGGTCCAAAAATCGCAAAATACATGGCTGTGTAGACCTGTTCCATGAACCTAGCAGTCTTTCCTCTGCTGCGAATGCCACAGTAGGCAGCCCATGGGCGAATCACGCATTGCATCAGAAACTCTCGTGTGAAAGACAGGACAATAGTGTAGAAGCCGACAAAAGCAAAGTCCAAGGGACCTTTTCCATACATAACCGGGCCGCCAGGGGTCTTGGGAGGCTGCGGGTAAGACAAGAAGATAGCGCTGTGGAAAGGATTGGCCGGCGTGGGATTAACAGCGTATGCGAGGAGGATCACGCTCATCAGCAGGAGAGGTAGAACCCAGGTGCGTTTCAAACATAAGTCCTTGAACCGACGGAGGAGCGATCGGCTTTTGCGACGCTTGATTTGAGATTTGAGAGACTTCTCAGACGTTGCCTGGTTCTGCAAGGCCTGGCAGCAGTGAGCACGGGACCGACACGACGGATGATAATGAGGTCACCGATAAGGATATACCTTGTCCCATTTTGGAGATTCTCCCTCAATAGGGCTGATCTCGTTTAAAGTTGACATGGCTGGCCCGGTGGTATCGCCTGGGATATCTTCCAGATGGCTGGACTTGCGCGGACGACCCATGATGGGTTTGCTGATATCGGACAGTTTCGAAAACGTATCGATTGCTCTTGTGTCTTTTACACAGGTGAATAAATAACCAATTTTCGTATTTGCTGCGCTGAGCGGGCTGGCTTCTGAAGGACAAAAGCGGAGGTGACCTTGGGGTCGCTAATTGAAACAATGAAGGTTAAAATAAGGAGAGACAGGAAGAGAAATCGCTGCGATGTTGAAACTGAGTTTATGTTGATGTCAAAGGGGGTTTTTTTCGTTTTCAATTTTCTCCGCCATCTCCACCGCACCAGCCACTCTACCCCGTCCAATCTCAACCACCACCAATCGCAAGCCCTTCTTGTCCGGTTGTACCTTTGTTCTTCCGATTTGACTTCATCCAATTGCTCTCGCCCTTTGCTATTGGACTCAAGCTCGATTGTTGCTTTAGGCCCCCGCGAGTCGACGATCGATCAGATACGGAGTACTCCGCGCGTTTCAATAACATTATTATTATGGACAAGCCCAATATCATACATGCACATGTTACAACCTGAGCTACAACATAACTGAAAATAATAATAAACAGGATGAAAACTGAACTCTGACCGAAGTTGTCGCGTCGCCTATGACTTGCTTCGTAAAGTGCAATTATCTGGCTCACGAAGACAACAATGCTCTGTGGACGAGATATTGCAGAACGGTGATGGAGAAGGGGCACCACAACTCGGAGCTGGGCAAGTCGTGGAAAAAGGGTGTATGTCAGAGTAATAGGGCTACCTCAGATGGAATCTCTTCCCAAATGTCAGTCTCAATATAGTGAGTGTTCGATAGTAATTCATCCGTGAGTGGCTGCGAGATGTACTCCGTAGTTGCATGCATGCTATATCGGTAAAAGAGGTTGATCACATGTAAGAGGAATGCACTATAACATCCACAGAAAGCATTGTGCGCTAATCAAAGCCTTTCCTTGTACATCTTGATCCTGAGAGACCTGTATTGTCATATCATATAACGCTGGTCCAAATGGGAGGTTGGCAGCTAGGGAATGGGAGGATCCATGTCAAGTCACGTGTGTAGTCGCGACGCGCGCTGCATTGTTATTTGGTCCCGCTGGCAGCCCTCCTCTCCATGTTCTGCTTCCTACACCAATTGCAGCTGCTGCCTCGGTCAGTCACAAACGACTTCGCAGACATTTCAGTTGTGCTTCGATTTTCTAGCGTCTCAGCGAATACTGAACTTGATCCTCACGAGCTCTCGTTCGGACCTGACTCGCTCGAGGACGTGTTGGCGTGTGTCTCATAAGCATCTCTAGTTTGCTATGCCGTCCCTCAATTGCCTGCGAGGGCATTCTTTGTACAGACCTTACTCTCCGTATAGTTCTCCAATTTCCATCACTGCATCTCGATGCGTCTTTAGGAGACCTATAATCACACGTTGCTCACCCCAGCCTATGATTATACCTTCTAAAGAAGGTGATGGTTTATTGGGAATCTAACCCTAACCTAGTCGGTTCAATGTTAGCAGCAGCACAAGTTTCACGGCCTCGCATGGCGGAGTTATTGATTAGTTTCTTGATTCTTAAAGGAATCGAGAGACGAAAGGTATCCGATGTCCAGAGCCTGTCATGGGCAACAAAAGACGGTTTACTATGCGTTTTAAGTTCCGTGAATGGGACACGCGTCGGTTTACCAATGCTGGTCGTTACATGCTGACCACGATGGATGGTTTGTCAATGCCTTAGCGCGGGAGAGTTTAGGGAGAGAGTAGGTGGAGCATGCCGGGCCTCTCGTTACAGAGTACGGCCTTTGGAGCTTTAAGAACGGCAGTGCATGGGATGTCGGGGCCACCCTTCAAATTGCGGCGGAATTCGTTACTATTGCTCGGTGATCATCTTGAACGCAACAATTAGTCCTCGGACGCGCCTACAAACACTCATGAAGTCAGTACGTCGGAAGCAATCCACTCGTCGGAATCATTGTGATGTCTTGATAGCGCCCAGGTGCTTCCTGAGAAATCACATTGTAGCGAGGTTCTTCCGCACTACTGGATGGACTGAGTTGATCAGGATTGCTCCATGAGTGATGCTGTCAGAAACCTTGGCTTGTTGTCTAGTTCCGGCGCATGATTCGCCATCAATGAGTAATGATCTCGCCTCTGCAATGGTCGCCCTACCTATTCCTTCCGCTATTCGTTCTACTATCCGGCGCATGCTCCCAACTCGGGGAGCCTGGGCAACCCGTACCTACTTTTGAACCCTTGTCTCTTGCCATATTCTTGGCTTGCAAACCTCGAGTCCCGGCACCAGCCATCGACTCGAACTTGACTCAAAGATCCAGGTCGACCGTGTTAACCATCTCTTTGCAATGTAGATTGCAAATAGATTGATGGGCGCCGACATGACGATGGAATCTCCCTCGTCGTCCCGCCCTTCGGGGAGAAGGAAGCGGTTTTTGCGGATGTTCTTTGTTCGCTTCTACAATGCCCTCCAATGTCTGCTCGACGCGGAGAGGAAACAAAAACTTGTCTCAGAGAGTACTGTACCCCGCACGAGGTTTAGGTCTCAGCGACTAAGATTGTCCTTATGACCACATGGATAGCATGTTCGAGAGCGAATTGGGAGATGGAAAGCTTCGATTGAGGTCAGGCCGAGTAACGCGGGAAAGCATGGGGTCGGATGAACTTCGCGAAGGGCGTGAGACTGTCTGATGTCGCACGCTGCGTTCATGAGCTTCGACTCTGTACTGCGTTCGACACTATGATCTAGCATCTTGCAATTTTGGTGACTTGCCATTGTCATTCTATGTCTTGGAAGCCGGCAATCGCCTTGATTGAAGCTCACCAAGTCGCTCTCTTCTCGTTTGCGTGTTCTTGCTTCGCCCATCATGCGACCTGACTGCCGTTCAACATATCTCTTGCATATGATGCAGTTGTTGACAGGAGGCGTTTGTGGGACCTCACAAGGGTGGGGATCAAAGCTCAGGCTTGTCTACTTGTCCTCTGTACTGTTCACATTTGCTTCTGCGGAGACTTTGGCGACTGGGTAGTCGGTCCTGGGCGTGTAGGAGATCAACGAAGAGAGCGTATTTGCGCTTCGATCGGGTAAGGGGCGTTTGTGTGTGGGCACCAGGACCCGGCTATTGTGCGAGAAGCTTGTTGCGAGTTCTGGTCAAAAGGTGCCGAACATCTGCAGGTCGATCTCCACTCATGAACCGCCGCCTCTCCTCAGGGAGGCGGCCCCTATTTTTTTTATAAGTCACCCACACCCCTCAGAGATTGGCTCCGCTAACTACCGCTGCAGGAAGGAACGATCAACATCAAACGATCAGTTTGACGGGCTTGGGCCGATCGGATCTATAGTAGCTTCGAGACGTGATGCGGACTGCTATCTCCGGTCTTCATTCCAGCCCCTTGGATTATGTAGCTGTCGGTAGACTAGGCCCGAGTGAAGGCGAATGTCAGCCAATTCGCCGCATGCTTTCATCACAAACCAACGCCATCAGTCCGAAATTGTCAATTATTCTTCGCTCTTTTGCTGCTTTTTGCATAGATCTGCATTGCTGAGTAATAACACCTGGGCTGTCTGTGCATAATTAGAGCTGCCCCTCCAAAAAAAGTTGCCCCGCCACCGCGATAGTGGAAGGCAAAGGAACGTTCCCGTGGTTGCCGGCTAATTTTTTTCTTTGGGCCCAATGGCTTTGTAATAATATTTTGTAGTCCTTCTATTTACAAGTACTTGATTCTTTTCCTTTCCCTTACGAAATTCAATTGATCTCAGCAAACCAGGAAACATGTCGACAGAAGGAGAAAACACTGCCCCTCAGGGCAATGTTGTGGTAGAGTCGCAATTTCAGAAACCCGGCGACTTGGTGGAGAGAAATGAAGATACTGGCGTTATGTCACTGGAGAGTCTCTGCATGAACTGCCATGAAAATGTAAGTGATCTCGATGGATATTTGCGTCTTCCTGCGCCGACACCGACAATTACTAACAAAACTTTAGGGTGTCACCAGACTTCTACTCCTCCGAGTACCTTTCTTCCGCGACATTATCCTCGAATCTTTCGAATGCGAGCACTGCGGCCACCGAGACAACTCCGTCAAATCCGCGGGTCAGATTCAAGAAAAGGGAACGAAATACACACTGGACGTTGAGAACGAGGAGGATTTCCAGCGCCAAGTCATTCGAAGCGATGTCTCGATTTTCAAAGTCGAATCGCTCGGTATTGAGATGCCCAAGGGCGAAAGCCAGCTGACCACAGTGGAGGGAGTTATTCAGCGCATTTACGAGAACCTGTCCAGCGAGCAGCCAATGCGCAAGGTGGAAGCGCCCGAGCTGCACGATGCGCTCGTGCCTATCCTCGAGAAGCTCGAGAGAATTCTGAAGCGAGAGGGCTTTCCTTTCACCATCTCGCTCGATGATCCCACCGGTAACTCATGGATCGCGCCGAATACACAGGACAAGACAAACAAGTACAGACGCCGCGACTATCCCCGTACGCACGAACAGAACGAAGAGCTCGGTATTGCTGCCGACCCCGAGGCCCAGAAGAATGAAGGCATTAACGTGGAGGGCGAGATTGACGACTCGGAAATTGTCGAAGGCCAGGTTTACAGTCTGCCCGCCGAGTGCCCCGGCTGCACGAAGGCATGCTTTGTCAACATGAAGAAAGTCAACATTCCCTACTTCAAGGAGGTTTTCATCTGGGGTACAGTTTGCGACCACTGCGGCTACCGCACTAGCGAGGTCAAGACCGGTGGTGAGGTCCCCGAGAAGGGCAAGCGCATTACCCTTCGTGTCGAGAACGAGGTCGACCTGTCGCGTGATATCCTCAAGTCCGACACCTGCGCGCTTCACAGCGATGAGCTTGAGGTGACTGTTCAGCCTGGTACCCTTGGCGGCCGCTTCACCACCGTTGAGGGTCTGCTCACGGAAATTCGCGATCAGTTGCACGGCCAGATCTTCGATGTCGACGACACCACCAACTCTGGCGGTGACAGCATGGCAACGTCTGACAAGGAAAAGTGGGAGCGCTTCTTCAGCCGTCTCGACGATGCGATCAGCGGAAAGATGAAGTTCGTCATTACTCTGGAGGATCCTATGGCCAACAGCTACGTTCAAGATCTGTGTGCTCCCGCTGCCGACCCTCAAATCACCACTGAAGAGTACACTCGTACGGAAGAGGAGGAAGAGGAGCTTGGTCTGAGAGACATGAAGGTTGAGGGGTACGAGCAAGAGCAGAAGGAAGAGAAGCCCGCCGAGGGCACTGATGAACAGAAGTCATGATTTTCGATACCAATTAGGAGAGGGTTTTGTTTCGTGTGTTGAATTACGACTCTTGGGTTTGCTCATGATGTGCATGAATTTCTTATCGACTTTCCACATTTCGATGATTTGTTGAGTTTGCATTACGGCGCTTATGCTGCTTGCTCGGAGATGAGTCCTTCGAAGATGAGTGCTTGCATTAAGATCCCTGATGTGGATGAGCTTTGTTCGTCATATCACTATGTGCAGATCTTCATGGTGTTCTACTGTTTATGGGGATGTGGAAAAGTATTTAGCGAAATCATATTTGTTGCTCATAATTCACTCAGTCTAGTGCCTCTTGTATGTTTTTGTAACTCAGTCAGGGTCACTTTACTTGGTCTTAGAATGCCCGCAAACCTTTTGAGGCTGCGATGACTGCTGCACGCAACCGTTGCCATGCAAATCTTGCTGGAAGTGTGACTCTCAGATCGCCCAGCAGAGCAATATCAGCGGCACTGAGCGGTCGACATGAGTGACGGCAATCCGTGCTCCCGGGGTAAATAGTGCCAGTCATTGAGCCGGCTTTTGGGATACCCAACGCCATTCCACGAATCTCAGTGGGTTGGGTCCAATACTGCCGGCAAGGATCTGTAGGTCCTCCTCGAGGCTTCAGGACCGTGGAACGCGGTTCAAGAGAACTCTCTCACGAAGTCATCTTCTACCTGTGGACAGTAGGGCCACATCTCACTTCGCAAACGGGTTGGCGTGGATCGTCACGTTGTTGATACCAATGGCTTCATATTCCTCCTCCTCCCCTTCTTTCGGCTGAGTCACTCTCCCCTTCTTGTCCACCTTTAGCCTCGCCTTCTCAAATTTGCTCAGGACGTCGCCTCCCTCATCCTGCGCGCTCAGATTCAGAACTTTCCCAAACACGGTACTCGCCCCGTCCAAATGGGGAGCCGCCGCGAAAGTGATGAAGAACTGACTACCATTGACCGTCGCACCCGTCGCACCCTGTGACCCCGGTGCCGTCCGGTCTTTTACTGGTCTTGACGCCATTGACAAAATTCCGCGCGCATTATGGCGGAGGGCTGGTAGGTGGATCTCCTGGTTTAGTGCACGAGGGTGGTAGATTGATGTGCCGCCTTTGGGAATCTCATTGACGGGCAGCATAGGTTTTAGTGTATTCAACGTTCCTGGAGCTGGTCCAAGTGAAATATCGCCGCCCTGAATCATGAAGCCGGGGAAGATACGGTGGAAGGGGGTATTGTTGTATGCGCCGCAAGCGCATAGGGCGAGAAAGTTCTGTGACGAGTAGTATTCGGGTCAGCCTCGATGAGCCCCGGAAAGCAAAGAATAAGTTTATCAACGCGTACGAAGGGCTGGTTGAGTAAAATACTTACTTCGGCTGTTTGAGGCACGGCCTCGCAAAAGAGCTCGACCTTAAGATCTCCATGCGTGGTGTGAAGCTGCCGAGTGAGGTCAGCATCGTTATTATCCCAACCAAAGAACCTGCGCGAGGCTCGGAATGCCAAGAGCAAATGGAGAAGAACCTACAGTGACAGACATGGCGACTCGTCTAGTGCTAGGATTTGAATTCGAAGGAAATCTCAATCTCAGTGATAATAATCGTCACACCTATATTCTGGCAGCTTCATTCTGTTGAAACACGTGACGTACGTCGACGCTATTCCTCTTGGGCTCATCACGATAAAGGCGATAACGCTAGTCTAGAAATGGTAACAGGTTAACAATAGCTGGAGCCCGCAGCTTTCGCCAGATCCCTTGACCAAGTACAAAGGTTTCATTGACATATCTCCATTCATGTACTGAGCTCCAAAATGAACAACAGACCTGTGGAGCAAGCTCTGTCTTTGTTAGTGCCAACACACGCCAATGATCTACCGCCAGAGCTCGTCAGCTTAGCTCTGTCCCTGGTCGCGCAATCACGAAGTTTTGCAGCAAGCTTGAAGCCCGAAGAGGAGATTGCACGGCCCTATGCTTGTGCCGAGATCGCATGCAGAAGGTATGACTATTTCAGATCCCAATTGATGGACCTAGACACTGAACGAGCCATCAAAACTTCAGGTTGAGCAGGGCCCTCAAACTCCCGCCGCTGCTAGGCCATCCTCCATGCCCTCCTCGAGCATACAAGAAACTATACTCTTTTCTGGAACGGTCGTTGTCGACTAGTGCTAGTGGCTCTAAGCGCGCAAGAGACAGCTCGGCCCCAGGAACGCCTTCACGCTCCGGTTCTGCACCTTCCACGCCTACAAAGACTCAAGCACCTGCAAAAACCGCTGCGACGCCGCGGAGACTTCAAAATACGCCGAGCAAGTCTACACCCCTCAAGCAAGCTGTCAATGTCTCGGACAGGCCGGCTGCGCCATTGTCCACTCCTCAGAAAACCACCAAGGTCCGTCCCAATGGTCTCTCCAGCTCTACGATCATCCCCGATGCACCTGCGTGGGTCATGAATTCGATCCGCACAGTGTGCAAGACACTTTCCACTCCAGCACCGCGCACGAGCACATGGTCTCGGCCCCCGATCTCTCGAACTCTACCGCCGCATATTTTCGCTGGAGTATCATCCATCCTCTACCTCATCTCGAACCTCTCAGCAAAGAATGACGAGGATCTGGACGAAGAAATGATGGAATTCCTCGAGCCAATTATCACAGTCAAAGATACAGAGAAGGACGAGGATTTCAAGGAAGTCGTGTACGCATTGGTCGTAGCAGTCTACTTCATTGTGCTTGCGCGCCGGCGCAATCCACCAGACGATGGCTCTTCTGAGGCAGGCGAGGCAAGAAAGATGGACAAGAAGACGTTTTCGGAGATGCGGCAGACTGCCCTTGTCAGCCTTGGCCTGCCTTCCACGGAGCGGCGGCACCGCGACGATGTCGATCAGTGGATTGCGTTGATCATGGAGCAAGGCTGGATGAATGGTCAGGAGTGGTTCGAGAATATTCCGCAGGCTGGGGAGGTGGACGGAGACGATGAGTACCTGTCGGACGAGTATGGCGCCCCTGACAATGAAAGAAAGCGCCAGAAGACACCAGGTGCCGGTCACGGTTTTCTTTTGGAGGACTCGTCGAAAAGGAAAGGCCTTCTGCCTGGTTTGGGCACAATGCTGCAGGACCGGGTCGACTGGTTGAGCGTTGATCGCCGCGAGGATTACATTGAATGGAAGGCTGATATAATGGCGCGCATCCAGCAATTGACCTCTGCTAGATGAATAGCGGGTGGCCTATCTCGCCATTCTCATTTGCATGATATGAATTATGATACCCTTGACCTAAACATCTCTAAATGTTCCATAACAAGACAGTTTTAAATGCCCTTTCCTCCATGCCGTACCAACCTGTAACATGCCAAAATCATGTCTATCCTCTATAAACCAGTAGTGCAGTAGATGACAATCCGACAGGTCATATAAAGGTCACTAAACTCCCAGAAGCGACAGCAAAGGAAATCAAGTATAATGGAGGGCAAAGTAGGACTCCGACGGTATGTACGCCGAACGCATCGCCATGAATATGCAAAAGGGAACAGAATTATTTGGGTATCATGGTAAGTGACAGTCGATCCATGTGCTGCATCTGGGCTAATACCAAATGCTTCTCGTCCTGTGATGTGGAATGGTCTCGCGGCCGTCCCTCTCCAACTCTTTTGCTGTATCATACAAGAAGAAGTCGATCAAGATAGCATTGATTCCCAAGCCGGATGCATCGTGGGTACTGTTCTGTCGGAAGTGCTTTTGAGTGCCAGGATTTGTCTCGTTTTCGGACGAAGTGGCTCCGTTTTCCGGGCTTTGAGCTGATGCTCCTTTTGATAATTTCTGCTTCTTCACTTCGGGGTGTTGGCGTTCAATTTCACGCCGAATCAACTCGACGCACCAGATGCTGGTTGCGCGCAACTCAATTTCCCAGTTGGAGCCACTGGGAATCAGCTTTTTGCTCCTGATATGACTCTCTAGCGATGGCGAGTATAAGAGACAACCAAGTTGATGCAGCATCTGCGGGATTCGGTAATCTGCCAGTCGTCACTTGTGAGCTACGCCGTGACATGTTGCGTGGGAAATAAACCTACCGGCAAACATCGTGATTTTGTCAATATCGTGAAATTCTCCGTAACTTTCTCCATTAAAACATGCCCAGAGGTCTGCCACGAGAATCTGTGCGCGTTTGTATAATCGTACTCGCCGGCCTTGGAAAACCGTCTCGTCTCGGAAGCAGGGAAAGCTTTCTACAAGAAGATTGACAAGAGCTGCGGCTGAGTAATTGGCGCTATAAATGCAGTTCACGAAGCTGCCGTCGAAATCCTACAAACGCATTGAATTAGCACGGGTAGTTCGAAAGGTAAGGGACTACGACATGGGCGTCGACGTACTGAGCAAAGGACCCTGCCTGCTTCACGAAGGCACTGGAGACGTTCATCTAGCAGTGGAATTTCCTCCTCACTCGCTGATCGAAAAACATGTCTAAAAAGAGCGTCTGTGCATTCCTCCTCATTGATCCAAAATTCTGGTGTGGTGATCTGAATCCCTGAAAGCAGAGCGGTGTGAGTCTCACCTTGGAGTGAAGATTTTGACAAATGACTTACCCTCGTCTAAAGCTCTTTGCAGTGCGGCTACCAGACTCCAGTAGCCCGTCCACTTTTTCCCCCGATACTCAATGCAAAATCGCTTGGACGGTTCTGTTTGGTCCGACCAGAAGCTGAAGTTCAAAAGATCCATCATGAATATGAAGTCAACAGTGCTCCCATCTTTCGCCTTGGGGTGCAACTCGTGATCTGCCCATGTCTCGGTTGAGTAGTTCTTCTTCTGCATCAGACGCCATATTGTCTCCGCCGCTTCCTTAACCTTCGCCGGACTCAGGGCGACGTCAATGGCATTATCGAAAACAAATTGCGCATTTTCGAGGACTTTTGTCTCCGCGGTCCGTGGATTGGCAGGCCCACCATCTAGTCCAAGTGATTTGCGAAGAAGGGCCAGGAGCTCGGGGTCGGCTTCGTCGTCCGACATAGCGCGTGCTATCATTCTGGTCTTATTTCCAGGAGTGCCCACACAATTGTCCGAGTTGTAGGCTATAACTGAAGATATATATCCACCAGATAGAATCCAAGGTTGATGTCAGCGAACAACGGAGCAAAGGCTTTTTTCGAGCGCGGATGTATAAACTGCAGAGAACTATATCACCAGCTCGCGTTTGACTCAAGCGACGGCTGATCAGCTCGCCGCAAAGGAAGGGACCCTACAAAGCCGGTCTGTTGCGTATTCTATGGGGACGACCAAGGATATTTTGAGCAAGTCAAAACATCAAGAGGGTCTGCAGACCAACCAGAGAGATGTTAGAATCGTAGGAAAGGGGTTGACAGAAAAATGATTCAGCTGCCTATCCTCAATTTCTGACCCAAAAATTGCCTTCTTTATCTTATCTGGGGAATTCTGGACTCTTTTTTGGGTGGTTAGGTAAGCGACAGAGATTCATGCCACATTCTTCAGGCACAAAGGGGTCCGCATTAAAGTCAGCGGCAGATCTGTATGTTTCTGACCCCCATCCTCGCCGCTGGAAAATGAGACCAGGGTGCGGATGCATGGATTGTTTGATCCCAATAACCGTTGGATATGGAAGGGAAGCGACAGAGTCCCCAGTAGTTGTTGACTCCATGGTCTGATGTTGATGTGTAGAGATGTTTGAACTGCCACTACTGTGATGACGTTGGATGTTACCCCTCGGTATTGATCATCTCCAAATTATCGGACACCAGCTAGACAGATAGCGCATCTCACATTGCAAGATAATATTCTTCGCAAAGCCTTAGAAAATAGAGCTGAGTAAAATGCATAACTGATGACGCATGGAGCATAGATAGATACCGCTCTAGCTGGTACGGAAATGAGAGAATGAGAGGAATGTGAGGTCTTCAGTCCAGGCTCGGGCAAATGCAGCAGCCTCTCCAGTCAGGAGATTTGATTAGAGCCATGCATGCATGCTGCTTGTTCTCCATCTCCTCTCCCTCATCACACTAAGAAATTAATTCTTAAGATTCTGACCGTCTAGTATAAGAGGCGCAACAAGGCTGCCCTTTTCCCTAATCAGCCTGTATCTAGCGTTCTCTTCACTTGACTCTGATAAGAGCGTATCCGTGCGCAACGTTTTGAGAGCTTCCCTGTTGAGATTGGAAAATGTCTCTGTAGTCAAACACACTCCTGATGAGATTGACTGGCGCAAAAGAATCTCATCAGACGCATTCACTGGCCTTTTCGCCCTGCAATGGATGAGGCCCCATTGTGTTGTTTGAAGCTGCTTCGGAATTGAACTGACCCCGGGCACTGTTTTCCCTTTCAACCTTGCGCCTGGTTACGTCTGTTTCCGGATTCCCTTCCAGCGTCTTCAGAACTACCTTATTAAACTTACTTTCTCCCAATACCTCCTACAGTTTATCGCCTACCTTATGATATCCCTCATTCGTACAATCAACTCTGCTTCTAAGTGATCAATTACTTCGGGGATGGTCTTCCAACCACTCTGAACCTCTACGTCACAGCCCATCTTTCAATTCGCAACAAATGGCGAGGGACGCTTATTTGAAGCGTTCTCTCGGAACGCTTTCCAGGCGCATCAAAGAGGTAGCTATATTACACCCTACGCTTACCTTCTCGATGCGCTCGGTCTCCCGACCGTTGAATCAAGCTTGAGCTGACGTCTTATCTCTTTCGCAACTTAGTCGCGTGTGCTTCTTGTCGGTGCCGGCGGTATCGGCTGCGAGTTGCTCAAAAACCTTCTGTTGTCCGGCTTTGGAGAAATACATATCATTGACCTTGATACCATCGATCTGAGCAACTTGAATCGTCAGTTTCTCTTCCGCTACGAACATATCAAGAAGCCGAAAGCATTGGTACGTCTTCGCCGTCTGATCGGTTTCTCTGCCTTCCCACGTCCGCTCGCTTTTGCGCTTCGATCTCCTACGCTACGCGATATGGCGAACAAGATCTGACCTATGCGGGTACTCATATAGGTTGCCAAGGAAGTGGCTCATAAGTTTCAGCCGAGCGCAAAGCTCGAAGCGTACCATGCAAACATCAAGGACAGCCAATTCAATGTTGACTGGTTTGCGACCTTCGATTTGGTTTTCAATGCGCTTGACAACCTCGACGCCCGGCGACATGTTAATAGAATGTGCCTCGCTGCCAATGTGCCGTTAATTGAGAGCGGAACAACAGGGTTCAACGGACAGGTGCAGGTTATCAAGAAGGTAAGCCTTTCTTGTAGCAGTTGATGCATGCTCCTTTCCTTCAGTACATCTTTAATGACTATCACAGAATCAAACCGAGTGCTACGACTGTAATTCAAAGGAAGTACCCAAAACTTTTCCAGTGTGCACCATCAGGAGCACGCCGAGTCAACCCATTCATTGCATTGTCTGGGCCAAGAGTTACTTGTTCCCGTGAGTGTTATACATATCTGCGCATTAGCCCGAAACATGTCTAATGGTATAAAGCGAGCTCTTTGGTACCAGCGAAGATGAATCGGAAGAATTCGATCATTCAGCAGATGCCGATAACGGTAAGTACCTTTGGTCGTCTACGTGTCGCAAGCCGGTCCTAACCCTTCAGCAGCTACCGAAATCGCCAATCTGCGTAAGGAGGCGCAGGCTCTGAAAGCGATCCGTGAGTCCATGGGCTCTCCCGAGTTCTACCAGAAGGTATTCGAGAAAGTCTTCAAAGAAGACATCGAGCGGTTAAGGGGTATGGAGGACATGTGGAAAACTCGAACGGCACCCCAGCCCCTTGATTTTGAAAAACTGCAGCAAGAATCATCCTCAATCGAGCCCATCGTCTCTGTCATCGATCAGAAAGTGTGGTCATTAGCTGAGGACTTCGTTGTTTTCAAGGATAGGTTCGACACTCTGGCGCTTCAGACAATTCGCAACCAATAGCTGACGGTCACTATAGCTTGGAACGACTAAGCAAACGCTTAAAGACTCTGCAAGAAACAACCAAGGATGGTCTGAAGCCGATCCTGATCTTTGACAAGGATGATGTCGACACCCTTGACTTTGTCACTGCGAGCGCCAACCTCAGAGCGACCATCTTCGGAATCGAGCCTAAGTCAAAATTTGACACGAAACGTAAGCTTGACGCGATCACTGGTTCGTTCCTATTGCTAAGTGTTTATCAGAAATGGCTGGGAATATCATTCCCGCAATTGCGACAACAAACGCGATGACAGCTGGGCTCTGCGTGTTGCAGGCTTTCAAAGTTCTCAAAGAGGATTTTCAAAATGCCAAAATGGTACGCGCTACCGTTGAACTGGTTCCCCGTGTAATCTGACATCTCCCTCAACCAGGTCTTCCTTGAACGCTCTGGTGCGCGCGCCGTCAACTCTGATTCCCTGAAACCGCCCAATCCGAGCTGCCCCGTGTGCTCAGTCGCCACTGCTAGAATCAAGATTGACCCTGAACGTGCGACCGTGAATGACCTGGTGCAGGATGTACTCCGGTTGCAATTGGGCTACGGCGAAGAATTCTCTCTGAGCAATGAGCTGGGAACTATCTACGATCCGGATCTCGAAGACAACCTGCCCAAGAAACTGTCGGATCTCGGTATCAAGAATGAGAGTTTTCTCACTGTCGTGGACGAAGAAGACGAACAACCGCGCGTCAATCTTGAACTTGTCGTTCTTGTGCCTGAAAAGTAAGATTACGGGATATAAAGTTGTAATTGTCGACTTGAATGATCTGCTAACTATATTTCAGACCCGAGCCCTCTGAAGCAGAGAAACCTGTCTCTCTAGAGAAGATGATCGATATTCCACGGAAGCCCAAGGCACGCGAGCCTCCCGTCCCAGAACCTGTAAATGGTGCAGCAGTCACTGGCAAGCGCAAAGCGGAGGAAGCTGGCCTCACGGACGGTGACGAACGTTCGAAACGTATTGCGAGTGCCCCCGTCGCCGAGGGCGACGGAGAACACCCCATTGTTTTGGATGCGGCAGATGGCGGCGCTATTTTGATCGACGACTGAACAGTCGAGGATGTTAGCATCTTGATCAACCGCCAAATGTCACCATTAGAACTCGGCGTTGGTATTTGTCATATTATTTCCCCGACGCCAGCTTTTGCATGCGGCGTTTGGAATTGGGAATCTGCAATCTTGCCCAATGATGTCCTTGTAACATATCTCACGAACACGAAAAGTCTGAAATGAAATATAGATTGGTCATTCATATCACTTACTGCCCCACTTGGGCATGGCGTTGTTTCGACCGAGTTTATCATGGTCCCTCATGAGCCGTAAAATAGCCCGTCACTCATAGCAGTTATAGCTTCTGACTCCGTCACGGAGAAATTGTGCAGTCTTCCCATCAGACCGCGCTCAAACCACCATCCAGATTGAGGACGCAGTTGTTCGCGTATTCATTCTGCGCCAGGAACACAGCCGCATCGGCAATTTCCTGCGGAGTACCAAACCTCCGAAGAGGAACACTGTCTTTCAGTCTGGAGGTTTCGCCCTCGCTGAAATCTACTGTCATATTAATCTTAGATCACGAATGCTCACAACCAGCGACGTCTCCGCCAGGACTTGACTCACCAGCAATCATCGGCGTTTCTATATACCCCGGGACTATCGCGTTGGAACGAATTACAACACCTCGGAGGGAATKGGCAGCTTCCACAGCCAACGAGCGCGTCAGTCCAAGGATGCCAGCCTTGGATGCAGCATATGGTACCGCGCCGGTGCCTCCCTTGACAGCAAGCAGGGAGGAAATGTTAATAATGCATTTTGAGGGGACTCGTATTTCAGAGGTGCTGGAGGTGCCGCGATTCTTTATCCGACTGCGGATCGAGGCGCGCACAAGAGCACGCGAGGTTAGCATTGCGCCCTCGAGATTCGTGCGAAGGACTCGGGAGATATCGTCCGGTTCAAGTTTGGCGAGGATGTTCGAGATGGAGATGCCTGCGGCATTGACGAGGATGTCTACCGGTTGCTGTTCGGATTCGTCAGATATATCACCCGAGACTGGGCGGGAGAGCTCACCATTGCCTTCTCCAAATCGCGCAGCCAGGTCCCGGCTTGTGATACATCGCCGACGAGGAGACTGACTCGACCCGAGTCGATCAGTGTATCTTGTGACTTTGCCTCCGTATCTTTGTTTTGGAATTGTTGATCTGTTTCTGGGGCTTTAGTTGCTACTTCGCGAATGATGCTATCACCGCGTGATTCGACGGCAGAGAAAGCGTCCCCAGATGTAGGCGCCTCTAATTTGGAGGCAGCGTTGACAAGCCGTTCATGGGATCTGCCAACGAGGATGATGCGCTTGGCACCTTCTTGGAGAAATCGCTCTGCAATGGCGAACCCAATGCCGGATGAGCCGCCTGTGATCATACATGTTCGACCAGATAATCGGTCCGAAGACCTGAAAGGACTACTGCCAGTCCTGCATGCCGTGGACGATGACCATTGAATAAGTCGCCTTGATATTGAAGTAGCTATTTCGGGGAAATGTGCATGAAGCTTGGTCTTAGCTCGACGAGCAGGCAGTGCTTCAGTGCACAATGTGGACCATGATGTCGATGCTGCCGCGCCGCGGAAGCAGGAACGCAAGATATGCGTATGGTACATGGGCTGGGTCGGTAATGGTCTTTTCGGCAAGACTGAAAGATCTCTCTTCAATGCTTTAATTTATGATAAATCCGGCCTGTTTCTTCATGAACCACCAAGTGAGCTGTTGGACTGTTCACTGGCCAGAACAAAATCGGTTCAATTTGCAGACTGGATTCAGATCAACTTCCAGATCAACTTCCAGATCAGCTTGATTGGTAATACAAGCATGAGTCCAGGCTTTAGGGATTGGAGCTTTCTATAACGTATCCTCCAAGTTATCTGTCCATGTACTGGATTGTGGTCCGTTGAGGATGAGATCACATCGTTATCGGAACAGCTTCAGCACGGACCACCCGGGAAGACAAATCGAGAACATCTTTTCCCCCGGTCATCCTTTCGGACAACTGCCATCACTCTCATCACTCCAAAATGGCATCTTCATCGTCTACACCCTCCGAGTATGTGACACTGGTATCAGGCGACGGATTCGAGTTCATCATCCCCCGGAGTACAGCCTGCGTGTCTGGAACAATACGACGCATGCTGGAACCTTCTAGTAAGAAAGATCGATTCAGTTTTCTTAACGCGCGCGAACAGACACTGACATGCTCTCCACTATGTTGTAGGTAAATTTTCCGAGGCAATAACAGGTCGCTGCGTACTCGAAAACCTCAGCGGGGTCGTTCTTGAGAAAGTATGCGAGTACTTCTGTTACAACGAGAAGAATAAGAACCAGACCAATGTGCCCGATATGGATATTCCTCCAGAGCTGTGCTTAGAGTTGTTGATGGCGGCTGATTATCTGGATACTTGATGTGTGGGTTGTATGTCTACGGTCGTTGACCTGTTCCTCTTCTACCTTTTTGACTAACAAGTTCTAGTTGCATTTCTTTCACGATTCATGAGGCAACGACTTCTGCAATGCAAGGATCATGACTGTTTCAACAACTGGAGTTAGTGGCTAGGTATCTTCTATAGAAATAAACCATCGGTTTGGTTCGGGGTAGGTGTCCTTCGCGCACACGAAAAAGAACGCCTTGTCTATTCAGTCGACCTGTTGGCAGAGACAGCATTGTGCTCCTCCGCCACATGTCATCCGGCATCCGCTCTAGAGTTTGGGACTTGCCCAACGCTTAGCCATCTGAGCATCCCGTCCGGTCCTAGGTCAATGGCCGGACGATCTAAAGACGATGGCAGAGCAGTCATGTCCCTTTTATTCAGTCCTCGTCCATTTTCCATGGATATGAGGGCTTTATTCCAGGGGAAACATGCTCCTTCAATATCCGTGATCCAGGGTGGTTGTTGACGCAGGTAACAGTGTCTGGTCATCGCCCCTTAGGTTTCGGTTTCGATTTCGAGAATCCTCCTGATTTATTTCCTTGAGGAGTGCCTCTGTTCTCGTATAGCTTTTCCTTTCCAAACGCGGCATCTGCAACTCGCAGGTAACTCACAACACCTTGGTCTATAACGGCGAGAATGACGTTTCGATACCCTTGCCGTAGTCGCATATAGAGCTGTCGGTCCATCTTCTCGCCTCGCGGCGGATCTAGTGGTGTGCTTTCGAGCAAAGCGCCCAGCTGTGAGAGTGTGGGCATAGAATGTGTGCGGGAGTCGATGACAGCAATCCTGAAATCGGGAGCGGGAGGGGCAGACTTGCGGAAGGGCGTTGAAGGTTTATAGATGTGGAAGACAACCTGGAAGGGAGCTTCCGTTCGTGGAGCTGGGGAATGGGGGATTGTAGGATCATGCCACGGTATAATGGAAAGCTTGCGGTAGATATCACCTGGAAAATTAGTTGGCTTGCACATCAGGGCTTCCATGGCCGACTCACTATAGCTGCGATGAATTCCAACACCAACAAGGGGTATTGTCGTGGTCGTAGGACTTGGAGTCTGAAGCCACTTCATGAACCGCTCATACACCCCTGCTAGACCTGCACCAACCCGAACCGGTTCCTCTGTCGCTGAATCGACACCCGATTCCTCCGTATCATCATACCACCCAGGCGCCCGAGTAAGTGTATAACCCAGCCGCTTCAATCCCGTATAAACCGTAAACCTATCGATGGTCAACCCCCCGCGCCCAATAAAACACGTATACGCCGCCTGCAAGCTCATTGGAATCCCCGAGTCGCTCGCATCACCAGTATCACCACACCCTGTCGCGGAAACAGGCCACCGAATCTCCAGACTCCCTCTTTCAAGCAGATACAGCGCCTCCTCAGGAAGCAACCACACCCTATTCCACCGGTCCCCCTGGCCCATCGTCTTGAAGAACTGGCCCTTGGGATTGGCCACGTACACACACGAGTCCGGATGAACCCCCAGCTTCGTCACTGCAGCTTTTCCCGTCTTCAATTCGGTGTTCTGCGTTTCGCCTTCCGCGACGGGCGCTAACGACGGCGGCGCGGGCCCCTCTGGCGCGTATACGCCTACGATCCTGTGCTTCGGGTGGTGGAGTCGGGGGTACGAGAGGGCATTGTGCATAGCCCTGCGTGAGGCGGCGAGGACATCAGCCTGGAATTCTGTCGGGTTGGGTTCGAAGTCTTTCTCTCCTCGTTTGGGGAGGCTAGATTGTGATGGGTCTGCAAGGCTATGGTGCATTGATTTAGTAGCTGGACTGGACATCTAAGGGCTAACTGGCTCGCGAAGCAATACTGACAAGGAAAGGTGGTTTAGCATGCGGAAGTCTTGGGTTTCGTCCGACAGGTCGGTCTCGATATGGGTGGAAGTGTCGTTCGAGGGCATACGAGCGACATCTTCGTCCATGTCTGCCATTTTCGGTGCGAATGAAGCTCTTGGCTCCGAGGTGAGTGTGTTGTGCACGAATGATGGTCAGAGCTGATATCAATCTCCGATAAAAAAAATCTCGGTGGTCCAAGCTTATCAGTTCCGCTTGTGACTACAAATCGCGGGGGACCCGTCGATTGATAATATTTTACGGATACGGAGCTTCATGTGCTATTCACTTAAAAGACAGAATTCTGATATGCCATGGATTCTGCTATTACAGATTATAAAGAAATACTTGATCAGGTATATCTCAAAAACAAAATCAATCAGGCATCTCCTAACCTCAGCCAGATCCACAAAAACCTCTCAAACGCTCTCAACACATTCGGTGCCTCCTCCCAACAGTATCAGAATATATTGAAGATACTAAAGGAGTGCATGGATGACATCGAGAACGATAAAATAAAGAGGTCCGCTGCTCTCGACCCGGATACCCTGAGCTTGGCGATGAAATTCTTAGAGCTTGGGAGATGATCTACCATTCTCGATGTTTCAAGTCGACCTGAATGCGGACTCCGTTGATCACGAACAACCTGATATCTCTCCAGTTCCGCGACTTGCAACAGATGGATGAGTCCAGCGGGTCTGTCTCCATGAAAAGAACGTTCGACCAAGCCAGTGATTTCCTGAAGATCGTCCTCGGAGCCGAGTGAAATTGATGACCCAAGTGCATATTCAGACATTCCGGCATCATAGATCTTACATATTATATTGAACTATATGGTTAGAAGACCATATGAGAAAAGCGAGTGTTCCAACGGCGACGATTACCAAGACATAAGCAAGGCCGACCAAACACCTCGTTTTCCCCGCCCTAACAACAAAACGGAAAGGCTACCCTGAATGGCATGCAACAAGACAAACTCCAGACCCATGCATTCGTAAAACATGACCATGCTTTGCTTCTAAAGCAGGGCGTACCGCCGTGATTGGGAACTTCGACCCTCTCATAGGTGGTCGGCGGTTGAGGTAGTAGAGGACTTCTAAGTAGACCACAGATATTCTGGTCTAATTCGAAAATGTTGTGGTTTTGACAACAGAGCCATTCCTCAATCGATTAGTGGCTTCTTCTGGTTTCCAACGATTGCCACTCCGAGATGTCGCAGGGCATTGGGATCATTGGGTCGTACAATAGACGGGAGAGGTAACATAGGGTTATCTGGGTTCACATGGACTGCATCTCGAGCAGCTTGCTCGATTGCCTCCATTTCTTCTTTGCACCCCGCATGGTCAAGAGGACAAACAACGATTGGCTGTCGAATCGCAATGTCTCGTGCGGACGTCAAATGGGCCTATACTGGGATTAGTCCGGCTTCGGTAATTGCCCTGAGTTGGCTGGGGAAGAATACAAACCTTGACTGTCAAATAATACTCGATCTTGTAGAGACTTGCTGTAGTAGTGAAACCGCTCACAGCATACGTTGGAAAAGCTGCTTTACCTCTAGGAAGAATTCCCTCTGCGTCTCGCAGATCCTTTGCAGGGAATACCAAGCCCAAGTTTGTCAAGAAGCCGGTAGGCGGCAACTTCACGCCAATTGGTTCCGTTCGTTTAACCAGCGTTTTGACCTTGCGCTGTGGTTCATCGCCCTCGTGGTTGTATATGATCTCCTCATCGATACCAATTGTAATCTTGTTGATTGTGACTTTCCTTGCTTTGGTCATCCAGTCCGGATTTGGTGATAGCTTAACGTAGACGCTGACGGGGTCGAGAGGGCCGTAAGACCATCGTGGTAACGAGATTCCTAGAGTCACCAAGTGATCTGTCACCCGTTCCGCCGACTCAGGGCGATTGTACATTCCAAACGTGGATAGTGTGTCGTATCGTGAGATCGGTACTGGAAATGCATACTTCCTTTGTTCCGATTGTCCTTGCTGGACCGTCACGACAATTTCGTAGTATGTCTCCGCAGTGCGACTGGGGAGTTGCAGGCTGGCCGGAGGAACGCGTCTTGAAGAGTCCGATCCACCACGTCCGAACGGGATGAAGAGGACAAAAGGCAAATCCATCGATATCACTTCCTCATATTCTCGACCGGCCGGACAGCGAAAAAGCAGCATCTCCTTGCCGACAATATCAGTTAATTCCTTCCTAGGGGGCGCAAGATGCTTCTTGGTCACGGAGTCTGCTGACGGGTGTATTGTCTCGCGGCGATGGAGTGATACCGTCACGAGGGATACATTGACGGGTGCGGTGATGCCAACGCTGGGTCTGATTTCGACTTTACCTTCAATTCGCGGCTGCATCGAAGCGTTAATCTCTCACAGTTTCACACCCATTCTAGCCAGCGCTTACCATAGTCGCAGAGATACCAGGGTAGCCGATCAGAAAATTACCGTTCGGCGGGCCTGACACTCGCACGAAGGCGGCCATAGTGAGAGGGCTGTACCCGCACCACCATGGGCACGCGGCGGTTGGAAGGGATGCGCTCCGGGGTTGTTGCGGAGATTATGCGACTCGAGGGACGTTGTTAACTGCTGATAATTCATAGAGCCCACGGACGATCAGGCTGTCCCGCTTAATCGCATCTGCGCCAAGGGTCTTACAATGACGCAGGCGCACTGAACGGATGTGGCTCTAGGAGGTGCAGTCACGGATTCAAGAGTAGGCGGTAAAAGCTGCTCGTCGAAAGGGTTGTGGGGTGTGCCGCGTCGGTATCGAGACGCTGAGCAATTGCAGAAGGGCGGATAGCCGTACTGTTTCAGCGATGATGAACTCGAATGGCTGTAGAGGCCGTAGAGGCGGTTTGTTTATTGGCGCCGATGTGGGGGGGAGAGAGTGATGGGGAACATTTGGAGCGGCTAAGTCCAGGACCTTTGCTTCTCACTCGAACTCGACAGCCCCAGGCCTCGCTTCGCTACAATTCGTGATGATCGGCATCCAACACGAGGGCTAGATTATGACATGACCTTACCTCTCAGGGGTATTAGACGGTTATCTTTCAGCCTCAGACTCGACTCGAAGAAAACACTTTCCTCTTTCACTATGTACCCGTTATTGTTGATTGATGTTCCCTTTGTCTAGAGCTATGGAACGGGGAACCCTGGAACTCGCCGATAACTCAAACTGAGCCTCAAGCAATTTAAACATCCTACTACTAACCGCTACAGACAGTTTCCTTACTGCTCCGCCAGGAATCAAGACTATTCAGATACATAAGCAATCGTTCGCCGTCCATGCCGCTCCTCGTCGTCCAACAGGGTACCTATTCAGCGGTCTACGTCATAGCCTTGTTGGATACCAACTCCACAGGCATCAGCTAGACATGAGCTGACAGCACCGACATGCCATTCAGCCCCCAGCGTTGATTCTTTTACTTGGGATACTCAATGTCAGCTTCAGATACTCTGATGGCGAGAGAATTCTTATCTACGTACTACGGCTGATCAGCCCACAGTTAGCGACGACGGCTGCACGACGGGACCATTCCTGATCTCTGGATATATCACCAATCATATCCAAGACTTAACCACGTAGTATTGTGGATTATTCTTACGCAGGATTGCATTAGGCTTTCCTGACAGTATAAAGGCTGTGACCGACCTGCCGGCTGTTTTAACGACCTTCCATCTACGATGAAGATGGTTCAATCACTCCACTTATCTCTAGAGTCAGTCAGGTACTGAACGGGCAATGTATATGAAGTAGATTTGGTCAATAACTGCATATATATCAACTTGTGTGCCGGGAGTATGAGAATATATCTTGGTATGCTTACATCTGCGACAGCACCGAATATGCGCCGAATGCGACCATTCAACGGGGGCTTGTAACTTGCTTTCGCTTTTGTATTATAAATAATGAAAGAAATAAGGGGATGACAGATGAGCTCTTGTCACCATGGAGTGTCCTACATTTGATCCCGGAGCTATTTGTGGTGGTAGGTTAGCCTAAGGCCTGGAGATAAGGTACCTTACTTGCATTGAAGAGTTGATTTAGGGATTTTCATTTAAACATATTGCGCGAGCTCTGTGGTCCTAAACCAAAATTGTTCGACCTATGATCATTTGTACCCCAAACTTATCCTCAGTTGCATATATACCTTATATTCTCAGTGCCACAGAAGCATTATCTAAAGTATGTAACTTCGCCAGTGGTTGATGGTTGGTTGACAGTTGACGGTTCCGTTGCCATGTGCAACGCCCACCATGACATCGCTTTCTCCACATCCACCAGAACCAGATCTCACAAACTGCAAGCTGCAACAACCTATCAGCCTTTTAACGGCCTATTCCAATACAAAAATTACATTCATATCCCGGAATCTCCTGAATATGCCTACCACTCGTCGCCGCGGAGGCAACACTGCCGCCTCTCGCTCAGGTCAGTCGACGCTTTCATTCGGCGGAAAGTCCAGAGTCACCAAGCCATCGGCCACATCGACACGATCTCAGAAGACCAAAGACCTCGAACCAATCTCAGCTGCTGTCACCTCGAAAGAGGTCCCAGATCCGGATCAAGTGCCCGTCACTCCCTCGGAGCCGTCACAGCCGCACGTTGCGGAGCTCGCCGTAAGACAGCAAGCCCAGGAGGAGATTCAGCAACCGCTGTGCGAGGAGGATAAGAAGGCGATCAAGATCACAGAACAGGAGCTGCAGCGGTATTGGAAGAAGGAAGAGCAGACAAGGAAGGCACCTCGAGGTGGGTTTTCAAATCGTGATGTTGATAACAAGTTTGGCCGAGGGAAAGGAAATGCTTACGATACTCCTGATGAGCAGTCCACCAGGAAGATCTATCATTGCACGAGAAGATACTGAGACATTTTGACCTATCTAGTCAGTATGGGGTATGTTCATTATGTTTTATTACTTTCTACTTTCCGCGCTGAAACCTTCTCTAACATGATATAGCCATGCATCGGAATTGCTCGGCTAAAGCGCTGGAGACGAGCGAAGATGCTGAATCTCAATCCTCCTATCGAAGTCCTTGCCGTCTTGCTGAAGGAGAAGGACACAGTGAAGCAGAGAGCTTATGTCGACGAGTTGATGTCTTGAGGATCTTTAAACGTTCGTCACTTACACCATGACCTGGGAGGTTAACGAGGTGCTGGATCGGCGTTGGGTTTATAATTTCAAGCAGGGCGTTCGGTCTATTATGCAGATTATACATCGACAGGAATCAATTAATGACGTGGATCTTCTTAGATTCTTTCTAGTGCTGAGTTACTCGGTTTGATGACATCGCTAAGCCTAAGTCGACTGGGTGCACTAGTAACAGGGTACTTTAACCATATAGTTAGGTCACTTGGCTCGAAATTCATTCGTAGGAAACACCAATGCCAACGTATATTCGAGTCTTCCTGTTGTAGCACAGGAGGCTGCTGAAGAAATCGAATGAACTCGGCTCTTTTCTCTCCATACCCGGATCCGATCTGTAGTCGACCCCTTTTTTATTTTCATCTGAGCTGACGGGAAGCAAGAGCTTATTGTTACTCAGAGTACGCACGCAGCAACACTCTCGCCTGAGGTCAGGTTGTGCACTGGCTTCCAAAGAAGTGATCGGCAGCGCAGAGTACTAACGCATTGTCCAATCCAGGCCGACCAGGTCAAGGATAAAGCCTATTTGTTTTCCGTCTGTGGAGTATCATCATGATGCAAACGAATCCTGTTTAGCTGTTCCATCCGAACCTTTTCCTGAGTACTCTCTCTGTGGTGATGAAAGTTGCTAACTTTGCAGAATATTTCTTACTCACTGTTAATCTCAGCCAGCTCAGTGTGACTGTGAAGTTCACCCTGTGGAGCTCTGCCAGGTATCATGTACTTCTAGACTCCTGCGTCCATTAATTTCTTCGATTTGACGCGGACTTGAGACGTTAATAGTTAACGCTTGAGGTAAAGTGTTTTGGCGTCACGGAGTAGATCACCTGGGGTCTCCCCCGCACCTGAGCTGTTCAATCTCCTCTACCTAGTATCAATCTTGACTTTTTGGCTGAAGTCTATCCCTCCCATTTGCGGGATAGATCACCTCAGACGACTGGCTGGTAATCCATGCAATGCTGCCCTACCTTGGATAGCCGGTTTCTTGCTTTCCTATCCTTGTGAACCTTCGGTGGCATTCTACTCCTGGCCAGGCTCTGTGCATGCATTATTCCGGAATTTTGCCCCAGGAAATGCTTCCAATTCATGAATGGCCTGAACACCTTCTGCTATACTTGATTCTTATGTTAGAAGGTGAGGAGTTTTCGAACTATCGTGCTGCATTGCCTGACGGTCTCCTTCCTTACACTCAACAGCGTACAGCAATGGAACATATCTCGGACTTATAACTCATCGGCGTCATTGGAGGGGACAGTGTCCTCGAACGACTGCGAGTTACACCAGCTTCCCGCAAACACGACTCAGTGGCGACGAATGATGAGATGAAGTTTGACATGCATACGTCAAGCTTGGCTAGGATCAACTAGCTCTGGACATGTCGATCACTTCATGACCCCCAAAAGTTTCAAGACTGAACTGCAGCATGTGATGCAGCTGTCCAGGGTCTGGGGCAACGGTCCTGGCTTGGACTATGGTATATAAAACGCTTCCCTCCCCTGGAATGTACAATGGCGTTCATTCAACAGTTATCACTCGTTCAGTATCTTGTCATTTATACTGTCGTTTCTGAATTGGTCTTTTTTTGTCCAATCTTGTCCTCTCAGTTGGTTTGAGCACTTCATCCAKTATGCACTTCTCTCGTGCTTCCATCGCCCTCCTAGCTGCTGGCCTTGCCAGTGCCCAGCTACCGAATGTCCCGAACTGCTCTGTAAGGGTAACCAGTGAGAAACATGACCACCGAGGCTAACATTTTATCATTAGCTGAACTGCTTCGTCTCTGCCCTCTCGGCTGATGGTTGCTCATCCTTACTCGACTTCGCATGCCACTGCCAGAAGCCTGAACTTGTTGCGAGTATCACGCCTTGTGTGCAGAGCTCCTGCAACGTTGCCGATCAGTCTTGTAAGGCTGTGCCTCAAGACTAACAACATCCATTCACACAACTGCTGACAATCTTTATAGCTGTCTCCGGTGCCGTCGTCTCCCAGTGCTCTGCCGCCGGTCACCCAATCTCTGTGCCCTCTGTCGGCGCTGCCAGCACCACAGCTTCGGAGACAACCACTACTACGGAGTCGTCGACCCAGACTGTGACCACCACTAACACCTCATCCACTGCCTCTACTACCTCCTCGTCGGCAGTCTCTTCAACCCCCTCTTCCTCCTCGGCCGCGAGCAGCTCACACCATCACTCGTCTAGCTCTGCTTCGGCCTCGGCCACGGCCACCGTGACGAGCACAGCATCAAGCTCTGCATCTACCAGCGCCAGTGCTTCTGCAACAACGACTCTGTCCAACACCGCTGGTTCCGAGAAGGCCAATGTGGCGGGTGTCGCTGCTGTGGCGGCCGCTGCTCTCTACTTGCTGTAGGTGAGACGAGGATGGGACGACGTGGATGGGATCTAAGTCGGGCCACTGTGCAGAATGCATGCGAATGTATATCTATACTTAATAGTGATTTCGATCGTTGCATGATTCTTACTGCGTTGAGTTTCTAATATTTGTACTTGTTGCCTGCTAAGGGCATATGGCCCTGACAAAAGTTCTTCAATAATGACGCTCTTTATAGGGAAATAATATCAGACGTTGTTGGATGCTACCTACAATATGCTGCTGTCATCTGAGTGACTTTAGAGCTGGTTGGCTAATAAGGCCACTCACGTCAATTCCCCGACTCAACCTTGAGAGACTTCTTAATTAACCTGGACAGAAGATTAATTTTAACGATGACTACTGCTTCTGAGCTCAAGAATAAGCAGATCGAAAATCTCAGTGGAGAATCGATAATCACCAACATCACATGTTGCCCTTGCCCTAAGAATATCCAACCCGACTACATAAAATTGATTAGGACATCACACTCCGATGGAATAGTAGTCCTTGTCTGATCTCAAGCCTAATGATCCTCTGCGACGCCTTCAGAACATAAGGAACAGCATACAAACCCTCGAATGCCTGCCACAGTTGGTTGTAATCAATGTAACCAAGCCTGGTCTATGCTGAAGACCAGTCGATGCAAGGTCAGGTTTGACGTTGATATCAGACCTACTATCTAGGTTTGCAGCATAAAGTAATGCAACTACTATACTTCATGTTAAAACAACTAATCTGTCAAATCAGTTGCGCTTCAGAGCAGAAGTATTCCAATGTCAGTACGCTATACTAGTTCAAAACCCCACAATGGACGCCACTTGTGACAGGATACAGACGCAAATAATGCAAAAGATGAATCTTATGGTACCCATAACCTTACAAACCCTCCAACCTCCTGGCGACAGGTCACGCAGCTGCCGAAATTGTTCATCGCAAGGCTCACTCTGCATTCCTCGCATACGCAAAGGCATCTACAAGGCCATGTTATGATCGAACGTGGGTTGGTCTGGCAGATGACACACGGTGGACCGTCCGGTCCAAGGCCGGAGGCGCCCGATTCCCACGTCTGCGCTTCAGGACCTGCACGATTGGCTTCAGTTCGACGAGCCAGAATGAAGTTCTCGAGCATCTCAGACTCTTCCTCCGGAGTTGGTTTGCGGTTCTCCTTACCCGTCTGCTGGCCAGCAAGCCGTGAGAACCGTGAGGATAGAAGAACCTGCGCTCTCTCGCGCTCCATCTTGTGTTGGAACTGACGTCGCGTCATAATGCGCCCATCTCGCCCAGCAGCCAGATGGGCAGCTAGGATACGTGCCTCATGTCTGCTTTCTTGGTCACGAGGGTCGAGGAGGCGTGCAAAAGAGCCAACATCCATCAGAGACTCGTCAACAGGGCTGCTCTCCCGCGAGACACCTTCTGGGTATGGGTTGCGAGGGGTAGGTGTACGTCGGCCATCAGACTCGTCTTCCCACTCTGATTCGGCACTTGTTGACACAGATATAACGCTGGTGGTATCGCAAAGATCGTCGCTGTCGGCGGGTACATAGTCGGGACTTTGATCCTGGTTACCCCACGAGCCACCGGCTCTCCACCAACCATAGAGCTTCTCATCGAGGCGCTTCTCGTCAGACTCCTCCCAATGCGGTGCAATGGACAGCTCCCTCTTTCGCATTTCCTTCTCTACATCAAACTCATAGTCTCCAGGAAGTTCAAGCTCGCCTTCATCCGTCAGAATCCAGAAATCCAGCGATTCTGCCCGACTGCTACTATTTCTCTCTTGCAGGGCTCTTCTGCGCGACCCGACTAGAACCTTCAGCCATTGTGGTCGCGCACTGACGCCGATTCGGCGTAGTACTCTGTCGAATCCATAGGCGCTCCACTTGAGTATGAGATAGAAAATGCCGCGGAAGAAAGAGAAGCCATGATAGCATCTGGTCGCGCCTCTAAATGCGCCAACACCGCCAGGGTCGGTTTGAGATCGTACAGACCGTGATCCGCCTTTAGGTTTCTCGATCTGCTTCTCCTTCCCGTACCCACTTTCCCATTCTGCCGATGGTTCCGAAATATCGAAGGTTATCGGCTCGACACCTGTAAATGGCACGTCCCGGTCGTAGGCCTTTGAACTGTGCTGGAAAGGGCGTGAACGTCGCGACTTTTCGATCTCTGCCAGTCTATCCTCCTCCAACCATGTCATCCGACGTGCAACAACCGCTTTCCCTTCATTCAAAAAAACTGCTTCACTAGCGGCGGTTAGAGCAGTGTACCCAATCCGGAGTAACGTGGTGTAGAAATCCTCATGCCGGTTGAAGCGGATATTCCGAATCTGGTTCGCTCCTTGCATGTTTTCGTGGGCAAGTGAAAATCGTTCGCGAAGTGAAAGCGGCTGCCCAGCGTCCAGTGGTAATGAGAAAGCCGTAACCACGAGAGCAATAACATAAATAATTGCGCAAATGACAATGCCTAGTAATATCAATAGGTGAGGCACAAAGTCTACAATGCAGACCGTGGGAAACTTCAGTACGCCAGTGTCGCTTCCCGTCGGTGAGCCAGCCAATAGACCCCATACCATAGCAGACATAAAGCAAAGTCCCCAG